GATAATGAACAACAAATCATAACTGTCTCATCCTGATACGTGAAAGTGGGTCAACCGGATGATGACGTCCGGAAGGATATCACAAGATATGAACAAGTGTTCATATCTGCAGGAACAGGAACAGGAACAGTGGACAGTGTCCAGGTGATACATAATCAGTATTCCACAACACAGAATAAGATGATCCGATTAAGTGTTTACATGAACGTCATCCCGATTATCAATCGGCATAACCCAACCTTTTCATTCAGATTAAAAATTCATTCGGATCGAGCTCAATCGGATCAGAGTAATCGTTCCGATTATTAAAACAGCCCGTTCCGGGCTGTTTACATGACACATTTTTATTCCGAACGGCCCACTAATCCGATTACTTTTTTCCATGTAAACGTAGCTATTGTTACTTGTAAATTATATATTTTTCTGGTATAAATCTGCTGTTTTACATGATTATTGAATGAAATTAACATAATTATTAATTTATTGTAAAAACATGACCAATAATCTGTGAAACAGATCCGGTTCAGCTTGCTGTTTATCTATTAGTTTCTATGGAGGCTGTGAGCTGTTGCCCTTTTAGACGCCATTTTTGCTCCTCCATGCTGTCACAGATGCTACCAGTGTACGGTATGGGCGGGGCTCAGTCTAGTGATCTATATATTTATGTCTATGGTGCAGCCCCATTTGTTGCTGTAGAAGTAGTTGAGCTGACAGATATCACAAACAAAGCTCAGATTTCTGTCATTTTGCACTATGTGGCTAAAACTGAAGCTGACTGTGAAGTCAAGGAAGCGTTTTTGGGCTTCGATGATGTGAGTGCAGACAGACGAGCTCCAGCCATAGCTGCATACTGTATGTATTGGGAGTGTTGGAGAAGTATGATTGTGTTGACAAACTTTAGCTCAGACTTATGATGGAGCTGCTGTAATGGCATCAGAGCTTAATGGGGTGCAGGCTAAAATTAAAGAAAAAGTGCCAGAGGCCATGTTTACCCACTGCTATGAACACAAGCTGAACCTGGTTCTATTACATTCTGCAAAATGCATGCCAGAGTGTCAAACATTTTTTAAAACAGCTGAGAGACTAGGAGCATTTTTCAGCAAGTCCACAAAGTGCACTCATCTGCTGGATGACGTCAAGTGCCATTTACCTAGAGCAGCGCCCACAAGATGGAGCTCAAACTCTTGGCTGCTGCAGACAATAAGCATGCACCAAAATGATCTGCGCAAGATATTCCATAACATTATGGAAAATCCTGACAACTGGGATAATGGCACGTTGTTGATGGCAGGAGGGTGTGATTGGTGGCTGTCAAAATTATCATCATGCTTTCTCATTACAGCATTTGAGGGCATTTTCAGTGAAAATGACACACTTTTTAAAGTGCTGCAAAACAAAGTGATGGCCATTGAATATTGTCTCACGCATCCATGACACCGTTGCAGTTCTTGCGCGCATGAGACTGGACTTTGACATTTTCTATGACCAATTTGAACAGAAGTGTGGCAGACTTGGCTTGACAGAGAGTGGAGACAGTCTGTCAAAGACGAACAGAGACGAGTGTTCTTTAACATCATGGAAAACATCAGCAATCAAATGAAGGCCAGGTTTGATCATTTTGGTGAGCTAGCTTTCCTTGGTTTGGTGGATTGCACATAATTCACTGAAATGCCACGACAGTTTGATGACAAGAAACTGCAGAACCTGTCAAGCTATGCCAAGTTCTTTGATTTTGTGAGACTAAAGGTGGATCCAATTGGACTGTACAGCTCACGACTAGTAAGAAATGAATGTAAATCTCCTTGAGAGCTTCTCAGGTTTTTGACCTAGAGGGATCTTGTTCAGACTGTTCCTGAGGCAACAAAGTTGCTTCAGCTGGTGCTCACTTTGCCAGCTACTACAGCATCAGCGGAGGGGTCATTCTCAGCATTGAAAAGACTCAAAACATACAGTCAGAACAGGACAGATCAAGGATGGCTTACTTCCCTGGCAGTGGTCTCCATCGAGACAGAGAGACTTTTAAAACTGAAGGAAAATAAGACTTCTACAAAAATGTAACAGACATGTTTCTCCAGAAGAATCGACAAATGGACTTCACTTATAAGTAAATGTTAGACCATAATTAATTAGGACCATTTTAATGAAATATGCACCAAATGAGTTAAATTTAGTTTGTGTAAAGAAAAGTAATTAGATATGAAACATAACTTTTTAACTGTTGTAGCAATTAGAGTTTTTCACCAGCAGTTTCCTGGTTGGCCGAGGCGTTAATCAGCGCAGCTGCAGCTGATCTCCTGATGAGCACCTGAGGGCTTTATAAGACGACACTGGTGAACTGATCCTCGCC